CCTTCGCGGCCGGCTTTGGTAGCGGCACCGCGTTTCAGCCTTGCTTGCCCAGGCCTCCGTGTGCGGGGAGACTGACGGCCCGGCGCTCTCTTGTGTTTGTTTTAACAGACTTTTGAATCAGAATAAACACCTTCAGGTCTCGGAGGCTTCTGGCTCTGAACTGCCTTCACTGCTGTCGCCTTCTTCTGTCTAATGTGCTACAAGGATGAGCCCAGCATTTGGAGCTATGGAAGTGGAGCACTATTCCAAGGGAGTCCTGCTCGAGCCTTTTGTCCACCAGGTTGGAGGACACTCGTGTGTCCTCCGGTTTAATGACAAGACCATCTGTAAACCCCTTATTCAGAGGGAACACCAGTTCTATGAGACTCTCCCAACAGAAATGCGTAAATTCACTCCGCAATATGAGGGTAAGTTACCAAACCTTAGGATGGTGTTGAGTTTTTTCTTTCTGTAAATGCAAGCGTGCTGTGCTCTGTTACCTCTGAAATTTCTTCTCTATGTGGAAGAGATTTTAGGGTTTTCTTTTCATGTATTTTGATGTTGTCTGAGGCAGGCTTTGGAGATGCAGGGTGGAAATGCTTGCCAAGTTGGTGTTTGGGCTGACTAACAGCATTAGAGTAGAGCAGCTCTGCTGGTGATAGCCCATATATCTTCCTTAGGCACAGGTAAGTAGCTAACAGCTTGTGTATGTTTTCAGTAATTCTCTGCTGCTTTTTTGTGGATTTCTAAATATTTTGGTTTGCCACTTGTTTAATGTTTGTTTACAGGGATTTGGTAAGATTGGTTGACAGTGTTTTGTGTAAGCTTAGTTGTGGTCTCCTCTGTTTTGGATTTCTCCTCTGACTCATTTTGATCACAATAAATACATGTCAGTAAGGTGTCTTGTTGAATATTTGCAGTGTTGTTTCTGCCATTAAGGAAATGAAAATTCATGGCATTTAGGTAGGCAAGGATCAAGTAGCCGTGATGAGGCTGAGTCAGATGTTATGTAGGAGTGGAAATTCCAGTTCTCTTAAGCATTGTGCTAGTTAACAGAAACACTTTTCTTTCTCTTCGTTATTCCATCAACTGCTGCCTGGTGATTAATAAATAATATGTCTGAAGCATTTGTATGAATGGAGTTGCTTTTTAAAGCACACTGATTTTAATGAAGTTTTGCATACTGTTTGTGAAACTGGCGGAAGACTTCAGAGGAGATATTTGAAAGTTACACTCCCTGCATGTTTACAGAGACTTCTTGACATGTCTAACTACAAGTTCTGTTGAACTGGAAGAAAATGTGATCTTTGAATGATACTTCTCAAAAATGTAATAGAACAATTGTACTAGCGTATATGGCTTTTTGGGGAGTGTGGGGAGGGATTTAGGGGTGTAAGGGGCCTCATTTGGTCCGTCTCTGTTGTTTTTTCCAGGATAAAGCCAAAGGCCATTTGCTAGCTGGCTCCCCCTTTTTTTTCCTGTTGTCCTTTCCTTTGTGGCAGCAGGACTGTCAGTCAGAGCTTCTGCACTCCCTGCCCCAGCCTACTGTAGGTCTCGGAGCCGCCTGCCCAGCTCAGAAGTGCCAATCTCTCGCCGAGACCTCTCCCCTCGGGCCTAGTGATGAGCTGCAAGGACTGTGCAGACTGATATGAGAATAAAGATAGAGGATTGAAAAATAAAATTAAAAAAAAAAAAACACCCCACAACAAAAAACCAAACAATTCAGACAATTGTTATGGCTTCATTAATCACTGAAACATGCCACTGTAGCAATGAGTGCATCTCTGTCAGAGCGCTCCACTAAGACTCTTAAAATGCAATGCAGTGCTCTAGAGACTCTTGAGGGGAGGATGAGAAAAAAAATTGCTTTCAAGGTTCACCATATTTCTGTACCACAAACATACTTGTTTTGTACTGCATTTTTGTTATTTATTTCACAAGATTGCTGCATAACCAGTATCAATAAAATATATTCCAAAAAGGAGAAGAAAATGTATAATTAAACATGGTGATTCTAAGTGGAAGCTTTTGGACTAGTTTCTGTTGTAATGTGACATTTTCCTTGTTTTGCTCTACTTGCAAATCTTTTCTTTCCCCTGGGGATCTGTTAACCAAATCCTGTTTGGATAAGTGCTTTTTGCTTTGCTGTCATGCAAAACTTAAAGATTTTGGTGTATTTTTTTTTTTTGTGCAGGTCACTTTCACTGCAAGATGTTAACAAATGTTTTACATCTCGCTTAGGGTTAGACCAGTCAAGTTTTTTAAGTTAATAAAAACTTTTATTAATTGAAATTGTCTCCTGTTATTATTTGATTCTCACTTGACTGCATCAGAGAGAGAAAAGAACCTTTTGTATCATTGTTTTGTCAATATGATAAATTGTCTTTTGTGAGGTGTCATTTTTGTCTAGGTCTTTTGACATTTGGTAGGTTGGCAGATGGGGTATGGCCTGTGGCAAGATAGAAACTAAGGACCAGGGTAAGAGAAAAAAAACAAAAGTTGCTATCTTCTTAGTGTAAAATCATGTGTTCTAAAAGGCTAGCTTGTCACTTCAGCAATTCACAACTGCCTGTGTCCTTTCTCTCTTCAGGTGTGGTGTCAGTGAGCTTTGAAGAGGATGAAGATGGAAATTTATGTCTAATAGCATATCCACTAAATGGGGACCACGATAATTTAGAAAACTTAGATAATTCTGACTGTGAACCCAAAAGTAAGCTGTTGCGATGGACTAACAAAAAGACAATGTTGTTAGAAAATGAGAAGATATCTAAGGAATGGGTCCGACAGCATAGGAAAGAGGAAAAAATGAAAAGGTAAGTTTGATAGGGAGAACTGGAATGTGGAGTGTTGAAGCATAACATTTTTTGCTGTCAGATTAGAATCTAGTCTCCAGAATTCCAGAGAATTCTCCAGTAGTTTTTAACTTTCATTTTCTTTTCTTCTCTTGTTTCTTTTGTTTTTCCTGACCTCTTCAGTGCAGACAAGTTTAGTAGTGAAACTGTTATGTCCTAAGCACAGTAGCACATTGAGTCTTTTCATTATGCTCTTTGCTGTGGTCAACTGAAAAAGGTTTCCCAATGTTGTTTTTGAAGCTAAAAAAACTAAAACAAACCCAAAACCAAAAACCTGCAAAAGCACAATAGTTGTATAAAAACAAAACAAAAATTTCAGTTGCTATATATGGCATACTTTTGTAGGAATCCTGCTTTATCCATGTTAGTGACCTTTTTCCCCTTGTTCATTTATGCTAATTGTGCCCACTGTAAACTGTGAGCTGCGATGTGTTGTGCTAAAAACAGTGACCTGAGCAAAGGATCAATCTTAAACCATATCACTGCTACCTGCATTACTTCTATGGAAGTAATTCATACAGGAAAAAATACGTACCTAGAACGGCTACTTTGTAACGTATTTGACTATATGCTAATTTATATTAATATGGAAGTAGCTTTATAATGGTTGATGGGCCACTTTTCCAGTTGTATGGAAAGCAAAATAAAGCTTAGGCTAGCTGTTAGTGAAGGTGAGCAAAATAGTTTATAAAGTTAAATCCACCGACAACCCCTTTAAAGAACTTACTTTTCTACCTGACCTGTAATTTGCCACTTTATTCTGTTTTCTAGTCACAAATTGGAGGAAGAATTTGAGTGGCTGAAGAAATCTGAAGTTTTGTATTATACTGTAGAGAAAAAAGGAAATGTCAGTTCACAGTTCAAACACCATAATCCTTGGAGCATGAAATGTCACCAGCAGCAGTTACAGCGGATGAAGGAAAATGCAAAACACCGGAATCAATATAGTATCCTTTCCTGAAAATACCTCATAACAATGGAATGAGTAGGGCTCTGCTTTTTATTTCTTCAATGTGCCAGATAAAAGTATAGGACAGGCTTCATCCAGAGATGCTCTCTGAAGCCATGATTTATTTGGTGACTTTGAAGGGATTGCCAGCACTTTCCAGAACATGGGCTTTTCCAGCATGTAATAAAGAAGCTAGGCTAGGAAATTCAGATAACTTAATTCAAATTTTCAAGTAGTGGATTAGTTAGTAGAAAGGTTTTACAACAAACTGTGTTTGGGGTCTTCCACAAAAACAGTTTACTAATGAAAGCTTTCAAAGGAGAAGACTTCTGTCACCTTTCATTACTGTTTTGGTATTGGTGATCATAAAAACTAGCATCATCTTTCACTTTCAGCATCTTCTTAAATATAGAGCATTTTCCAATGCCTGGAGTTGTCTGCTTCTAGTAGTCTCTTTTTGGTGAGTCTTTTTGATAAAGAAAAGATGAATATAAATTGTCATGTAGGATTGGAGCATGAGAAACACAAAACTGGTGACTCAATCCATGAAAGCTGAAGCACACATTGTTTTTGTCCTCTGGAACTGTAGACAAACGTCTCCACCTTGTGCATTCTGTGGGGAAAAAATTTAAAGAAGTCTTGCTATATGCAGGCTTGGATGCAACAGATAAATCCTGCAAAAATATTATCTATATATTTAGGTAAACAAATTCCTTACGTGTGAGGAGTTTTGTTGAATGGATTATTAGAACATCTCTGACTAATAAACTGTTCAAAACAATAGAAAGTATTTCAAGGCTGATATCCCCACCATTTCACTGTAGATGATTATTAAATTACCTAAGTAGAAGTGTGTGACATCTCTGGAACAGTATTACTACAGGTGTTCTGAAGTGCTTTTTAACTTTTTGTTTCAGAGGTGGTGTGAAAATGCTTCACTGTTTTTTGAATGGTAACTGACACACACAAAATCTTCATTCCGCACAAAAAATTGTCTCTTGCTAGACAGGAAATACATCATACTTCCAAGTCTGTGCCTCAGCTGCCAGATTATATTTCTGTGTTACTTTTTTCACTTAATGTGGAAATTCACCTGTCTTCAGCTCTAGAGACCAGTGGAACTGGAACTGCATATTCACTCTGCTTTATGCCAAGCTTATGTAATTTTTTGATAGGCTGCTATATACTGGGCATGTTTTGGGTATCCTTGAAGTTAAGACTGTGGGACTGTAAAATCTGTGACAATGGTTTTAAAACCTGTATTCCTCATTGTGAGGGTTGTTCCTTAACTGATCAGAATTCATTTTGCTGGAAAATCTAACATCTCGATACGAAGTACCATGCGTGTTGGACCTTAAGATGGGAACCCGACAGCACGGAGATGATGCTTCAGAAGAGAAGAAGGCTAATCAGATTCGCAAGTGTCAGCAGAGTACATCAGCTGTTATTGGAGTCAGAGTTTGTGGCATGCAGGTGAGAGGAAAACTAATTATCTGTAGGGCAACAGACTTGCACCCATTTCTGTTAGTGGGGTTTTGGGCTTATGTAGTTGTCCCATGTGTTGCTATCCTTCAGGTGCTGTGCTTCATTTCCTTCAGTGAGGGGGTTATCACTGGTTGAAGGTGGCAGCATCTGCAGGAGCAACCTGCAGCATGTGCTTTGCATCAGTGCATGCGTTCTCCGAGCCCAAGAACAGTCTCCAGCACCATAACAGCAATTCAAAATTGTGTAGTAAAGTTACTGATCTGATAAACATTTCAGGGTAGTGTAGGAAACATTTGAAAGGAGGGGCTGCCAGTTACATGCATTTTGAATAAAGCATGTGGAAATCTGCCAGAATATTAAGAAGCAATCAGTTCTGTCTTGTAGACTTTGAAAAGCCACAGATCTTTCACTGCGTAAAGTAGATTTGTTGCAAAGTACAGACAAGAAGTGGCTTGGTAAATGTGATAAGACTCGTGGTCAAATAAGGAGATAGAGTTGTGTGGACTTTCACCTGAAGTTTTTATTTACTTGTTTCTGTATTCCTAGAGTGACAAATGGGAAACAACTTGTTTTGTATTTGGGGCTTTTTCTGAAGCCTTTCTCCTCCCATCCAGTAGATTCCAGGAATGCCAGCAGTGTTTGCTAGGGCTTGTTCCACAGCATGACTATCAGCATGTTTGGTGTTCGGCTCACTGTTTAACTTCGGAGAAAAGCACGAGGCAGAAATGGAGGTGTGGGAGCTGCATTCCTAACCCCAGTGTGCTGGGATTTGTTCACCTTCCAGTGTAGACCTGTGCTGGAAAATAACGAAGTTTGGAGGCAGCTGCAATCCTTACTTGCCCCAAATATTTAGGCATTATCGAGCTGTGCGGTGTATAGATTACTCTCCTATAGGAAGGAATCTTCCTGCAGGAGCATCTCTGACTTCTTTCAGTACAGAGGATTATGGGGCACACCTTAGTTTTATATAGGAGCATTTGCTGTCACTCAGAGCTCAGCCTTCTGGGAATCAACCAGTAGGCCTGTGAGCAGAGGCATGGAATGGGCTGAACGAGTGGCTGTGGTACAAGTTGTAGCTTGACTTTGGAGATGTTGGCTGCAGCTTTCCTAATCTCACTTAAACTCCTCATTCTTACATTCCCAGTGGAAAAGCTCAAATCTAAACTGAAGGAATTTTCCATTTCCTCCAAGTTCCATAGACACTGCTGCATCTGTTGTTGTTAGCAGTTTCTGTAACTGTGCAAGAGCAATTTTAAGAGTAGTATGTCATCTTGTAAAAGCTTTCTGTAGCGTGATTTTTTCTTTTTTTTTTTTTTGAAGGCTTTGAGTCAGTAGTACCAGCAATTTTTAACTATTCCTTTTGTCCTGTGTTTGTATATGCAGGTCTACCAGGCAGGCACTGGCCAGCTAATGTTCATGAATAAATACCATGGAAGAAAACTCTCAGTCCAAGGATTTAAAGAAGCACTTTACCAGTTCTTTCATAATGGCAAATACCTGCGCAGGGAACTCTTTGAATCTGTTATTAAAAAACTGACTGAACTCAAGTCTGTCCTAGAGAAACAGGAGTCTTACCGCTTCTATTCAAGCTCCTTGCTGATCATTTATGATGGAAAGGAAAGGCAGGAAGTTGCTGTTGACTCAGACCCAGAGGACTTAGAGGACCTTTCAGAGGAATCTTCAGATGAGTCAGCAGGAGCATATGCCTACAAACCAACTGGTAGTACTGTTGATGTCCGTATGATAGACTTCGCCCACACAACCTGCAAGTACTATGGAGAAGACAGCGTGGTGCATGAGGGCCAAGACACGGGTTATGTTTTTGGACTTCAGAATTTAATAGATATTATTAAAGAAATAAGAGACGAAAGTAGCGAATAAACAGTGTTGAATGCACATCGGTAGAAAGCACTATTGTGACTCTTTGTATTCCACGATTATTGGCCACTTTCTGGTGGTAGGAATCTTGACAGGCTCTGCAGGGATGGTCCTGTCAGAGTCAGACTTGTTCAGAGGGCATTTACTTATATTGGTGCTGGACCTAGCACTGGCAAAACTTGGTATCCTTATTTATTTTAACTTTCTTAAACATTCCATATTTGATTACTCAGATACCTCTGTTATCCCTGTGTGTATACGTTCCAATAAAATTCTTTTTGTTCATTGTAAGTGAGGCTTCTGTTGTTGCTGGTGACTGAGGAAGAGGTGATCTTTCTGGTGGTGTCATGCAAAAGCCAGTAAGGCTTACCTGGCTTCTGAGACTGCGTGTGGAACAGCACATCTGTCCTGGGCCTCCTGTCAGCCATGAGCAACTCCAACAGCCACCGAGCCAGCCAGGGGCTGGAGCACCAGCCCTTTGAGGAGAGGCCGAGGCAACAGGGCCTGCATAGACAGGGGAAAAGGTGGCAGCAGGCTGGGTGAGAGACCTGCAGAGGTCCCTTCAGCCAGAATGATGTGACTTTGATAAGCGAGACCTTGTCTCTTAATCTCCAACAACCTTTTTCCTGTTTCAGGATCTTATAAACTAGGTCTCATGCTGTGTAACCCATTTCTCGAGAGCTACTGACTACTTTTTTAATCTAAGATGAGCCAAAACACGTGTAAAACTACAGGATTAGCTGTAGTGGCAGTGACCGGGGAGAGCTGCAGAGCCTGAAAGGTGTCCTAAGCAGCTTAAAATCTTGCTTGGGACAAATAGATAGGAAGGAAGCATCAGAAAGTGAGAGGACAGTAACTGAAATAAAGATAACAGAGGAACTCCAAACCACTGGCTCCTCTTTTGAGAGGAACATTTGTTTATCTAACCATTTTTAGATAAATGATTTCTCCCCTTGTAAAGCTCGTAAGTCACTGTGATAGTGTGAAAGAGAACTGGGTGTGGAAGTGCTGACGTAAGTGTGGGGATGCCAGTGCTTGTTACAGTTGCCCAGGTTCAAGGAGCGAGTTAATGTAGAAATGGAGAGTTTGGGGAGCTGGGAGATGCTGGGATCATCTCCCCAGCCCATCCTTCGGCTTCCCACAGGTGTGCTGAACAAGTGGGATGTTAACCGGAAGGCTGCGGATCTGCTGGTGGAAGGTCACCCTCCTCCATCGGCTATAGCCCTGCGGCTTTAGTTGCAGCTTTAGTTTCATGTTCCCCGGCTGTTGCTATCAAGTTCTTCTGATCAAAGTCTGTCTGTCCTGTGCTCTTTTGTACTTTTTGAACAGGGTTTTTTAATCTTTGGTCTTACAACATTAGTTTGTGGTTGCTTTTTTTTCCTTTTTTCCGTAGTGTTCGGGCACAAACTGATGTTGGTATTAAATAGGTATTTTTACATCTTGCAGCCACCTCGCTATTTTTATGTCTGCACGTGTGCAACTTCCTCGTGAGGTAGGTTTGTCCATCCTTACCTTTCTGTTTATTGCTGCTTCATGAGTCTGTGGTGCAGGGCGTAGCTGACATGAGCTGCTCCCGGCACTGGCTGTAAAAAGCCTTGGGTAGGAGGATGGGGCTGTTTATGCTTGGCACTTTCAATTGCAAAGTGCTTCGGGCTGCAATCAGCCAGATTTCCAGCTTGCTGTCCCTGAGATGTGCTGCGTGTGAGTCAGTGTGCCGGGAACACAGAGGGGCCGCGGCTGCAACGTGAGGTTTCCTTTTCGGTTCTGCTTAGGATGTGATGCCCTCTGCTAATGAGCTAATGACGAGCCTCTTGGCAGGCCCCACGGCTGCCGGTCACTGCATATGAGTAAGCCTGCCTGTGCAGATTCATCTGATACACCGTTTGACTTTGTAGCCTGAAATTAGCAGGGATAAAGTCCTCTAATGTACTTGTGTTACGTAGGAACTCTGGAGGGAATTCATAAAATCCGATGAGAACAATCGCATTTGCTCTGATGCAAGCTGCCTCCAGAACAAGTCCTCTTTGTTTGGCTGCCTGCGGCCAGGGCCCTGGGTACAGGCAGGGAGCTGCCCTCTCAGTAATGCTGCCAGCAGTGTAAGCTTGGGTCTAGACCTGGTCTGAGCCCAGTGCTGTGTCAGCAGCCAGACCTGGAGCACTTGGAGCTGAATAGATGATGATGATGATAAAAAAACTCCTGATGGAATGGGTGCTGCTGTAGGAAGGCAGAGGGACAGACCTTGAGCCCTGGCCTGTGCTGCTAAAATCCTTTTCCCAATATTGTCTGAGGATTAGCGGAGGCTGTGCCAGCACTGCAAAGCAACAACAAGGTGGTTGGGAGCTTCCTGGGCCTGCAGCAGTGGGCGGGGGGGAGTGGGGCAGACATGACCTTTTTTTATTAGTTGCTTTAAAAGCTGCAAGAGCAAAATGTCAGGAGGAAAAATCTCCCTCCCTTGCACCTTGATCTAAACCGCAGGCATCCTGGCCCAGACCATGTCCTCGAGGGTTAAAGAGGGGGCGACCAAGAAGGCAAGGCACTCTGAATGACATATTATCTTGCAAAGTTCAAGAGCAGGTTTGTTTTCCTTCCATGCTGTTCTGCACAAATTCCTCCGAGCAGTTCCTTGTGTTTGTGGAAAGGCAATTGCGTAACTGCCAGCCTGAGACATGCTGGGCTGGGAGTGGGGCTCCTGCTGCCCCTCACCCCTGCCCCTGGGCTGCTCAGAGGACAGGGCTGCTCGGAGCAGGTTATGGGTCTGGGGGTGGTTCCCGAGGGGCCCGGGGGTCGCCTGCCTGGCGAGATGTGGCAGAGCATGGAGTGATGGAATAATGGGAGAGCAGCAGCCGGGCTGGGGAAGAGACTTGAGGGGTTTTCTGTTCCCCTTTTTCCTCCATCGGTGCCAGGCCGCTGCTGGCAGACGGTGCTAGGCTGGCAGTGGAGGCAGATGCTCTGGGGACATCCCTCCTGGCCAGGGCTGACAGCAGGACAGTGATGAAGCAGCCTGGCCTCTGTGACCCCGTGAGAAACCCTCCAGCAGGCTCTGGGCCATGCGTGCCACGGGAACTGGTGCTTCTGCTTCTGCAGAAAGTGCTTTCCCCTCCGAGGACAAATCCTGCCCTTGCTGCACATGCTCCAAGCACAGCCCCCCACAGCTCTGGTGCTCCCTGGGCAGTAAGCTCCTGGCTGGGCACTGGCTGTGCCCCCGGCAGCACTGGGAAGGGGCAGCAGACCTCGGTCCCTGCTCTGTCCTGGGCAGAGGCACCTCTGAGGGGCAGCCCCACAGCCGGGTGGGAGCTGGGACAGTCTGCAGGGATGTCTTGCTCTGTGGTCACTGCAGCTTCTGCTCTGTGGAGGACGATGCTGAGCGCACGTCTGCCTTCCTTGCGGCTCCCCTGTGTCTGGTCCCCTCCCTGGCCGCTGCTTCCTGATGCTCGGAGAGGACCCACCTTTTCCTGTCAGCTCAGCCTGAACAAGACCATCACCGTGCTGTCCAGGGCGGCTGTGATGTGCTGGGCCTGATCCTGCACCGGGGGCTTTGCAGGGGCTGGGCGAGCGGCAGCACGTGTTCCATCCTGGCTGGACCTGAGCACCCGGCTGGACCTGAGCACCCCCAGCCCTGCTTCCCCACCGCCTCCCCTGTGTGCCGCTGCACTGGCCCTGGGGTTACAGGGAGCTCGTATGTAAATAGGTCATTTCTAGCCCAAAACTGGGGTGGCTGCTGGGAATCACTACGGGTCAGCTGGCCAGAGATGAAACACATTCCTGTGGCTGGTGCCAGCTTCTCCGGTGAATTGAGCTCTGCTTTGATGGCCAGGCGCTGGGGATGGGGACGGGGGCTGAGCGGGGTTTTGTGGACCTGCCAAGGCCTTTTGGCAGGTGGTTTCCCGGCACTGGGGTTGGGCAGGGCAGAAGCAAGAAGAGGCAAAGGACAGCCCATGGTCCCTCTCCAGAGGAGCGGTCACATCCATCACCATGCTGTCCCCATCATGTGATGCTGCCTCTTGAACAGCCACTGAACTTCTTCCCCTGAGCTGGGTCCCTGCCAGCGGGGAGAGACACACAAATGGCTTTTGTGAAGCAAGAGCAAAATACTTCCTCATGGCTGGGCAGCAGCACCCCTGCAGGGCAGGGGCCCAATGTCACTGTGACCCCTGTCCAAGGGAGAGCGGTGTGCCCTGCTCACCCCACAGCCCCGGGGCTGCAAAGTGCTCAGCCCCAGCGAGGCACAAGCACATCCTCCTGCCCCGAGCCTTGCTGGGGACACAGTGGCTCCCAGTGCAACGGAGGCAGAGGCACCCTGTGCTCTCGTGGCTCTGTGGTGCCGGCTGCCCCAGGGATGGCGGGTGCTGCATGTAGCTGAGCAGCTCTGTCTCTGCTGTTTCTAACGGTGCTGGGTTCAAGTTTGTGTAACTGTACAATAATAAAACTGAGGTTAAGCTGTTTTTATGGTAATGCCGTAGTGGGACTGAGGGCATCCATCCATCCCACACATGGGTCCATCCCTGGTGCAAGGAGACGAGGGTCCTGTGCTGCCACTTGGACAGCTGCCAGCGGTGCTGCAGCCTGGAGCCACGCAGGGCAGGGCAGAGAGGACTGGGAATGGCTCGTGTTCCCAGCTGGGAGCTGCCAGGGGCGAAGCTGCCTTCCCTGAATTGTATGGAAATGAGGTTTGGCTAAGGGGTGTCCCGCAACCGCCGCTCGTCCAGCCTTGGCTTGCAGCCTGCGACTCGGCCACCTGCACGAGGGCAGAGCAAACCCCAGCGTGGCACCCAGCATCAGCCCCCGCCATGCTGAGCATCCTGATCCCCCGGCAGGGATCCCCACCTCGGCACCCCTTGCCTGCCCACTGGGGCCTGCTGCACCCACCCACCTGCCCAGGGCAACCCCTCAGGTGAGGGGTGCAAGCAGGGACGTGCGAGGGTCCTTGCCCCCCTACGCCGTGGACAGTGTGGGCAGCAAAGGGCAACGTTGGCAGGCAGCCTCACACGATG